CCAGGGGCTCAGGCTCAGCGCAGGCCCCGGTCCCCAGGAGCTTGGCTGCGGTCCCGCCACGTCGCCTGTCAACCTTTGCCTCTCTCACGGCCTTGTCCTACCCCTGAGGTCACTTCTCCCCACGTTCCTCTGCCCTGGGACGCCACCAGTTACAGCCCCCGCCTGGTGCCAGCCTCAGCTGCCGTGGGAGAAGTGCCCCCGCGGTTTTGCACCGCAGGTTGAGAGGCTCTGCCCACACTTCTTCAGGAAACCCTCGGCGCCGGCTGGCAGCTCTTCCATGCCGGGTCGCTCCTTGCTCGGCTCAGGTTGCCCCACTTGAACATCAGTGAAGCCCATCTAGTCCACGCCAGAGGCTCTGCTCTGGGTTTTCACGGCTCTTTTCCATCTTGCAACAGAGGTTGTAAGTGTGGATGCCAAGTTGAGGACACTGCTTTCAAACCTTTCCCGTTTTGATTATTAAAATGTCTTCCACGTTTGTTCTACCCTTACGACTTGTTAGCAACAGAAAGCCAGGCACAGGTTACAAAAACACCCAACTCTCACCACAGACGCCGGTGTGGGGAGCTCGCAGTTCCTGACCCAGGATTTCCTGCAGGGAGCCCGTTTCACACCACAGGCTGCGGCTGGAGCTCGGCTATCAAAGCTGGCAGAGCTCAGTGCGCTGCGTCTCTCCCAGCGGCCCCGTGGAGGGGCCTGAGGAAAGGCTGCGCTGGGCTGGGAGCAGCCCTTGGGAAGCCGCATGCCACACCTCAGCCAGGCTCTCCTGCTTGACTTTGGGCAAATTGCTTAATATTTCATTTTCCCAGTTCTCTGAAATTCCTCATTTTCTAGGGCTGCTGTGAGCGAGACTTAAAGGGCTGAGGTATTGGAGAATGGCTTTGGACAGGATGGGGGTGAGGGAGGAAATAAACCGCTCCACTGAGAGCTGAATTTGGAACATGCATGAGAGCAGAGCCTACCCTCAGTGAACACCACAGCTGAAAATAAAAGATTGAGCAGGTCTCATTTCAGCGAGCACTAACCACTTCCAGACAGACACAAGGGCCTTCAGGAGGGAACCGTGACCACCCCAACAGAGACAGCTTTGTGATTCCCAGGCACAGGGGAGCTTGCTGGAGAAGCTACACGTGCAATTCACTCGTGCTCGCAACTCATCCTTGGGAGTGTGCTGCTCTGCCTGTTGCTTGGGAGGGTTGCATCTAAGAAACACTTGCACGCAGTGGGGTTTGTGCGGTGCTGGATGTTATGGATTAGGTGCAACAAACCCAGCACGAGCCTTTGCATCACTGCAGCACCCTTCTGCTGGGCTGCGGTTCCACCTGGAACCAACCTCAGCCCCTCCTCAAGATTCCCTGTGCTGCACCCAAAACCAAAATGACTTCTTAGCCTGGTTCAAACACTTCGCTCCTCCTGCTGCACTCATCGCTGCCTCCAGCTGACCCCACAGCACTCCTGAGCGTTGCTCTGCCACGACCCTGTACCAGAGCTCTCGTACCTGCTGCAAAAGACCCGAGTCCTCCTCCTACCCCTCGCTGCACCCTCCTGCCTTGGATCTGCTCTAACCATCTAGCCACGAAGCAGGGAAGGTTTGGGGACTGCAGATCCTCCCCTTTGTCTTTACGCGGCCACCGACTTGAAGTAACATTACACCGCTACAGCTGCGGCCACACCATTTCTGGCTGCTAACGCTGTGACCGACAGGGTTGCTGGCCCTAGTGGGGTTACTTTTTTGCGAAGTGCTGCACCCCAGCAGGAGGGCTCCTCTTCCTCCCCACTTTGCTCTAAAGCATCCAGGTGGAAGAGCAGAGCAGGGAGCGCTTACAGGTATGCTGAGGGCAGAGCTCGGGGCTGGTGGGACAGCAGCGAGCAGCCCAGGCGAGCCTCAGCCGCTGCGGCTGCAGCAAGAAACACACTCAGAGCCTGCTGCGGTAGCAGTGTTGAACAGAGTCTGGACAGCAGCAGGGAGCAGAGCGCAGTGGACAGCCAAAGCAAAGCAAAGCAGAGAACCAAGCTGTTCGGATCTAAGCACCTTCTTCCCCTCCAAAATTCAGCGAGGGGGAAGGTCTGAGCCACCCGCTCCAGTGGTAAAGACCCTGCACCAATCCCCAGTGCGCTCTTGCCTCACAACTGCTCGTTTCTGAGATGCTGTTCGTAATTGCCAGTATCTCCCCCATCAAAACACAGGCAAGGACCTGAAAAGTCAGATGCCCATCCACTCTGCAGCTATGCCAAATTTCCTATCCACAAAGGAGACCGGGGTGAAGCTCCCCCAGCTGCAGGGGTTGTACACACAGCCCACCTCCGCCTGACTTAGGCTTTGTGCTTCTCTTCTCTCCCTGGTAAAACACCTTCTCTTCTCCAAAACAACTGCTCCAGCAAACTGGGATTATTAGATCTAAATCTACCCTTTGCTGCACGCTCTCGATGTACTTCAGGTTGTACTTAAAAATATTCCAGTACTTGCTTCCCAACAGGTCTTTTTCCCACTCTTCGCCAGGAGTGGGAACCCCAGCGAGCTGCAGCCCAAGCACCACACTACCTCTCTGTGCTCCAGACAGGACTCGGCTTATCCAAATCCGGAAGCGGTGCCAACGTTTTTAAAATGGACGCTACTTAAAGGTATTAGCGAGACTGAGTGCGGTTGTCCTAACCTGGGGGGTCAGGCTGCGCTGATCCCAGCGGGCACCAGCCAAGTGCAACCATCCTTCAATCCAAGCAGTTTTACCAGCTTTTATTAGAAACACCAGCACATTTCAAGTTTCCTCTTTTTGATCACAAATATAGTATTTTTCCTCTTTTTAAGTACACAGCATGAGACACAGCATCAGGGCTTTCCATCCTTTTTTTTCCCCCTTTTTTTTTTACAGCAATTTCTTTTGGACAAGCTTTGGGTTAGTGTTCACTGACCTCACCCCAGCCCCAGATTTTGACATCTTGAATTGCTGAAGACAATTGCGTGGGCAGATGAATCCAATGGTGGTGAAAAAGGTACAATAGTTAAAAGTTTGCAAGAAAAGTTGAAGCGGAGACCCTCTACAGTTAAAAAGAATGAAGTAGCACTGCAGTGCTACTGTTTTCACAGTACAGGGATAAAAGTTGAGATAAATTGTTTGCTCTTCCCCCCCCGTCCTCCAAAACCATTCCAATAAAAATGTTAAGGCCGGAGGAAGTGCTAACACAACATCAAAAGCCAAGCGTGCCCGGCGCTCCCCGCCGCAGCGGCTGCCGAGCAGGGCACTGCGCTGGGTTTGCTGCAAATCCCACGCCAGTCGCATGTGATCGAGAAGCCTCGAGGTCTGAGTGACGGCATTTTAGGCTAATTTGTGGTTTCAGCTCACACCTATGCTGGGAAAGTTTCCCTGGACTTTTTAACTCCAAAAAAAAAGTAACTCACTGGGGGGAGGAGGGGCAAGAATCCCAGGAAGATGAGGGCATGGTGACAGGATATAAAGGGAACGTGTACATGATTTGTTATTTTTTATTCCACAGAAAACCCTCAAATCTAGACTCAGAGTTAACAGCAGAAAAATAGTGTTAAAGTCAATAGGTTCATATTTTACTGTAGACTAAATAAATTAGCCTAGAATTAACTCAATACTCTCTATGTTCCTTTCATTGGTGATCCTTCTCTAAATTAACGCAGTTTTTAAAAAGCAACGGCTATTAATAATTTATTCCAGTTAACCCTTATGGATGAACACCTGCAAATATTCCATGTGTGGGAACCATTCCCCTCTCCTCTCCCTCCCCGAAAAGGAAACAATCACTAAAGGGTGTTGTAAAACAGACATGCTACCTACAATGCTCCACATATTGTGCCGCTCCTATCGCTGCCTCGGGCTGCTCTGTGTAATGAGTGAATATTCATAGCCATGTCTTACAAAGAACATGATCAAAAAATATATAAATAAATAAAAACCTTAAACATTCTTACATGGATTTTAAAGAACAGAATACATGTTAAAAACTTCAGTAATTTATATCAATTTTAAGCAATACTTTATATACAATGGAAAAAAGACATGCATAGTCCAAATACAATGTTGAAAACAGCATTTTCATAACAAAAAACCCAAACACTAAGTGTTAATACCATGTACATGAATTCAAGAAGGACCACCCTTTTTGTCTGTTGCACACAGTTTATTTAACAATATGATATTATAAGTAAGAAATGAGTTTGTTTTCTTTTTTACCATTCTATACAGTGATTGAATCTTCTTGGATTTTCTTATTTATAGTAATTATAGCGCTTGCATGATTTACACTAGAATTGCTTTTCCTCATTTCAAGTTTCACACAGAAGAAAAAGAAAAGAATGCTTCTTCTCTATTCAAATCAGCACGGTCTAAGAGTGATCATTCCTATTTTCATCTAAAACCAGTTTTATCAGAGAAACAAAGCAACAATTTCTACATCTGCAAGACAAGGATTTTGGCATTGGCCAATGTGTGTTTTTGTGTGCAAGAGTCAATTCCTATCTTTCCAGGGGTAATACTTCAAACGCCTGCAGAGTTCACTATAGAAAAAAAAATCTTCCCGCAACGTGTCAAAGTTACCGGGATACATTATAATGTTGCATTATTTCAGGAAACAGTTTCTGAATATTATTTTTTTCTTCTTTTAAACGCAAATGTTTAAAGTCTTGAAAATACAAATAAAAAATATGAATATAATGAACTTGTTTTCCCCGTTAAAAAAAAGGTATGAGTCAACAGCAACAAAAAAAATAAAAACCAAAAAAACCCACAAAAGAGACCAGATATTTTAACCGCCTGGCTTTAACAAAAAATATATTCTTTGTATTGTTTTTCTTTTTTTTTTTAACAGCAATTCATTCTTCCATGTGTAGGAAGCAGCAGTTCCATCCAGGATTCAAAACAACCCAGATGTCTGAATTTTCAGTACAAAATGTCCAAGAACACGAAAGGAAAGAGGAAAAAAAAAAAGAAGAAGAAAGAAGTGATGCTCCCATAATGCTACAAACCCTCCACAAATTTTTCTAATGTGTCCCCAGTGGTGTCACCGACCAGAGACAATTCGTTAGACAACGCACTCCTGTTCGGGGTGTTTAGTTGTGGAAGCATTGCACTCTGTTCTGGGTTGCCCAAGTGTCCCTGATCCATGGAGCTGGCCATAGTGACCGCGAGTCCCGGATGGGGGGAACCAGTCTGGGGAGAGACGTGGTGAGGTGACGGTTGGGGCTGTATCCTGGGTGATGGGCTGGAATGTGGCGGCTGGGACTGGGGACGGGGAGACTGAACGGGTGCTGGGGACCGCACCTGGTTGCTGAGGGAGGTGGCGATCTGCTGGCCAGGGAGATGAGACGCCTGCGGTTGTCCTGAGAGCATGTGCTGCTGTGGGCTCATAGGGTTGGGCTGCCCAGGGGACCCTATCTGCTGTTTCATCTGCTGCTGCTGCAGGATCCGCTGCTGCAGGGCTTGCTGGATGTTGGGGGTGCCGTCCGCCCCCATGCCGGGCTGGCCCATCTGGTTCAGCTGTCCCATCTGAGCCATCTGTCCCATGGACCCCCCCTGGATCGATATATGCTGCTGCATCCGCTGCTGCTGCATGGCTTGAGGGTAACCTCCCGGTCCTTGAGGCTGCTGGAACTGGTTGTGCCCTGCCATCCCTCCTGCCATGCCAGCCCCTCCTTGCTGCTGCTGCTGTTGCTGCTGCTGCTGCAGTAGTTGCCGCCTCAGTATTTCTCGGTACTGCGGGCTCATGTTCGCCATGCTGGGGTTGTGGCCAGGGTTCATGATGTTTATCGCTTGTCCCTGGGGATTCATAGCTCCTATCCCTTGCTGCTGGGGAGGAACGCTCGGTCTCTGCACTCCCGCTTGCATCGCGTTCATGTTCTGCAATCCTGCTTGAGCGTGCATGCCTGGCTGTTGCATGCCGGTCTGCGGCTGCTGCATCCCAGGCTGGGGTTGTAT